TGGCATAAGCGCCTGCCTGGCAAGCACAAGGTCCTGAGTTGGATTTCTGGTACCAAAAAAAATCCTCTGTGTACAATAAAATATGTTCACACAAAGGTATCAAAATGGATAATATATTTTTCCATTGTATTTTAGTATATACATAGAAACAGTATAGTAAATAAAAATAGGACACAGCTGAGCATGGTGGCACATGACCATAATCCCAGTAACTTGGGAGGCTGAATCAGTAGTATCACAAGTTCAAGGCCCACCTGGACAACTTAGCAAGATCCTGTCTCAAAATAAAAAATGAAAAGGGCTGGGAATAAAGCCTAGCACTAGCGTGCTTGCCTAGCATTCATGAGACCTCAGGTTCAATTTCCAGTACCACCGGAAAAAACTAAAGGGTAAGAGCTGATCTCAAAGTGACCTCCTTTTGAAGCTCCTTGTAGAGCATCGTGAGGCAAGACCTAGCACAAAGTCTGGCATACATTTGGTTGCTTAATATATTTTTTTAAAAAACAGAATGGAAAAAATAGAGTTTTTAGGATAATTCCCCTAATAATGAGGGCTATTGGAACACTGGAAGAATAAATACGTGAGCATGAACTATTTAACGTTTTATCCAGCTGTAGCTACACGGCAAAGTACTGGGTAAATATTCAAATTGAGTGAAGTTAATCAGTGATGGGTGCATAATGTGTACTTTGGAATTAAAAGATAATTGAAAATCTTTACACAAGCCGAACAAGGACAACACTAATAATACAGACTCCCTTTATGTGTTGTAATTGAAGGAGTATTTTCAGATTTATTGAGAAATTTCTTAGGTGTCTTTTGTTACATTGCATTTATTAAATTGCTGCAGCCGGGCGTGGTGGCGCATGCCCGAGTCCCAGCACTCAGGAGGCTGAGGCAGGAGGATCCTTGCAAGTTTGAGGCCAGCCTGGGCTACAAGGTGAGTTCAAGGCCAGCCTAAACTGCATATTGAGACCCTGTCTCAAAAAGACCAAAAAAAAAAGAAAACCTGCTGCATAAAATGGTAAAGAAAATTTAATATTGCCATTCTTGTGATAATTGCAGTTAAGTTTTTCATTATCCTAGTTGATTAATAACTGGGACAGAACAGTTTTTTTCTTAGTCTCATAGATGACTCAAAATGCTGCTCTCTGTCTTTCCTGCTCTATTCAATCCCAAAATACCTACTGATAAGTTTGTGCTCGTGTGATAGTATATATATAGTTTGCTTTTTACAAAAAAATACTGATATGTAGTTTGCTTTTTATAAAAAAATTCTATTCTATACGTTCTCCTAATATAACTTGGAGCATAAGCATGTTGCTCTTTTGCCTCTGTAATAAAGGAATTATGGTTATAGGGAAGGAGGCATCCTTAAAGAAGTTGCCAAACATACATTAGCATCTTTCAATAAAATTCAGAGGAGGAAAAGAAAAAAAACAATTGAAAAGGAAACCAAAAAAATGAACAGTGTATACAAAGTCTGAGACAATTACATAAGCTAGTAGACATCAAAAATATCAGTAATTGAGGCTGGGGATATAGCTCAGTGGTACAGCGCTTGCCTGGCAAGCACAAGGTCCTGAGTTCAATTCGTGGTACTACCCGCCTCCAAAAAAATCAGTAATCACAACAATGAACTAATTCCTCCAATAAGACAGTTGTCAAACTGGACTTATTTATGTATGAATATGCACATACACATAATACACACATTCTTTCTCACACATATCTAAAGCATAAGGATACATAAAGATTAGAGGAAGTAAAGACCGACAGTGATTTCCTTGTAACTTATGTGCGGTATAATGTAGCCTTGAAATATATTAAGTAAAAATGACCACATTGCAAGGGCAAATAAATCCTCCTAGTAGTGGGAAAATGTAATCAGTCTCTCTTAGTAATCCATAGTTCAGACAGACAAAAATAATCAGGATATAAAGCATTTATAAAAGTGTAAATCAAAGGCTGGCGTGGTGGCACATGCCTGTAATCCCAGCACTCAGGAGGCTGAGGCAGGAAGATTGCCATGAGTTTGAGGCCAGCCTGGCTATGTAGTGAGTTCAAGGCCAGGCTGAACTACATAGCAAGGCCATGCCTCAAAGAAAAAAAGTTAGCCAGTATACCAAACATATTTATGATATTGTACCAAGCATCTGCAGAAATACGTTTCAAGCACACATAGATATATAAAAATTGGTGACATATTAAATCAAAAGCAAGTCTCAGCCAAGGTGTGGTGGCGCACGGCTGTAATTTCAGCCCTCGGGAGGCTGAGGCAGGAGGATCACAGTGAGTCTGAGGCCAGCCTGGGCTATAAAGTGAGTTCAAGTTCCTCCTCCTTTTTGCCCCTTTTGCCCTTGCTGCTTTTGCTGTCTTCCGCCGCCATTGTTGCCCTCTGCTATGTGCCACTCTGCCTTGGAGCCAGCTGAGTACAGACTGAAACCTCCACAGACTGTGAGCTAAATTAACCTTTCCTTCCTTAAAAAAACAAAACAAAACAAAACAAAACAAAACAAAACAAAAACCAACAAAGTGAGTTCAAGACCAGCCTGAATTGCATGGTGAGACCCTGTCTCAAAAGACAAAAAAAAAATCTCATAAATGTCAACAGCTTACTCTCACTATGGATAACTTCCTCTGATTACAGTGATAATAGTTAGATATTAAAGCCAAGCATGGTGGCACATGCCTGTAATCTCAGCACTTGGGAGGCAGAGACAGGAGGATCACCTCAAGTTCAAGGCCAGCTTGGGCTACATAGTGAGTGCAAAGCTAGCCTGACCTACACAGTGAGACCCTGTCTCAAAATTAAATAAATAAATAAAAAAGATCACCAATAGTTAGATATGCAAAAGATTTTTTTAAAAAAAGCAAAAAATGGAACCAGGCATGGTGGTGCACTCCTGTAATCCCAGCACACAGGAGGCTGAGGCAGGAGGATTGTTGCGAGTTCGAGGCCAGCCTGGATGGGCCACAAAGTGAGTTCAAGGCCAGCCTGAACTGCATAGTGAGACCCTGTCTCAAAAAGACACACACACACAAAAAGCAAAAAATTCATTTATTTGGAATTTAAGAAATGCACATCTAAACAATTCATGAGACAAGGAGGAAATCTTAATGAAAAGTAGAATATATTTAGATTCAATAATGCAAACAATGTACATCAAAATGAGTGAAGGGACAGCTAAAATAACACTTAAAAATGTACTGTATATCTTTTAAATACTAGAAAGAAAAAAAGGTGAAAATTAATAAACTAAGCATCCATCTTAAGTGGATAGAAAAAGAACAAGTTCAAAAGAAAGAATAAAGGTAACAACATAAATCAGTGAGCTAGGAAATAAAAACACAGAGAAGGCCAGTAATGTAACAAAGCGATTCTCAGAGAAGAAGGCTAAATTTGTCCATTTATTTGGCCCTTTAATTTTTCTCAACTGGGTATTATACTTTTTAGCACATGGGGGTAGCACATAATCTTTTCAGTAACTGGTACGAGGAAAAAATAAAGTTGAATCCTTTGCCTGAATCACATATAAAAATTAACTCAAAATGGATCATAATTAAGAACTAATCTAAAAAACTTAGAAGAAAATCTTAGTGATCTCAGGTATGGCAGAGATGTCTTAAATATGACCCAAAAGTACAAGGTACAAAATACAATCAACAAATTATAGACTTCATTTAAAACAAAAACAAGTCTTACAATTTAATAAGAGAACAGCCCAAATTAAAAATGGCAAAAGATTTGCATAGGCACTTGATCCAAGATGTTCTAGAGATGGTAAGTAAGGTTATGAAAAGATTCTCGGGGGCTGGGGATTTAGCTCAGTGGCACAGCACCTACCTGGCAAGCGCGAGGTCGTGAGTTCAATTCCCGGTACCAGAAAAAACAAAACAAACAAACAAACAAACAAAGATTCTCAATGTGAGTAGTTTTAGGGTAATGCAAATTAAAACTACAGGAAAATAATACTGCACACCCAGTAGAAGTTAGAATAAAAAAAAAACTGATCATACCAAGTATTAGTAAAGATACAGAGCAGCTGTGAATAACTGTTCGTAGAATTGTTAAATAATGCAAATACTTTGAAAAACAGTTTGGTAGCTTCAGAAGAATAAATTATATATGTGTTACAATTGAGTTCTTCATTCTAGATATTTACCCAAAGGAAAGAAAATCATATATCCACACAAAAAAACTTATATTCAGATGTTCATAGCAGCTTTATTTGTAGTAGTTCAACACTAGAAAGAACCTAGATGTCCATTAACAAATAAATGGGTAGGGACCCTTACAGTGGAATTCTGCTTGATGTACGGAACCAAAAAAGGACACAGTAACATGGATGAATCTCAAAGTAATTATCCTTAGTGAAAGAAGCCAGACCTCCCCAATAAAAGAGTACATGCTATATGATTCCATTTATATGAAATTGTAGAAGACACAACCTAATTATACTGAAAGAGTAGCTGACAGCCAAGAGTGTCCCTCATATATAAACATCTGCTTTATGTAAAGACAGGTGAAAGGTAAAACCATAAAACTTTGTGAAGGCAATCTAGAAGAACATCGTCATGATCTCAGAGTGTAAACGAATTTGCTTTTTTTTTTTTTTTTGGTCTTTTTGAGAAAGGGTCTCGCTATGCAGTTCAGGCTGGCCTTGAGCTCACTTTGTAGCCCAGGCTGGCCTCGAACTCACAATGATCCTCCTGCTTCAGCCTCCTGAGTGCTGGGATTACAGGCACGCACCACCATGCCTGGCTGTAAACGAATTTCTTAAGGCACCAAAAGAGATTTCAAAAGTCAGTGATGTAGACAAAAAAAAATAAAAAAGCCAGGCGTGGTGGTGCACGCCTGTAATCCCAGCACTTGGGAGGCTGAGGCAGGAGGATCATTGTGAGTTTGAGCCAACCTGGGCTACAAAGTGAGCTCAAGGCCAGCCTGAACTGCACAGCGAGACCCTATCTCAAAAAAAAAAAAGTCAGTGATGTTCAAATTTAAAATTTCTATTTCAAAAGAGAAAAGAAAAGAGATCAGGAAAAGAAACACACAGTGAGAAGAACTAGGAGAAAAATATTCCTGACAAATAAAATCGACAGAAAATTAGTATCACTATGGCACTCCCATGACTCGAAAAAAGATGACCCAATAGTAAAACAGACAAAAAACGTGAACAGGTATTTTACATTCAGAGGGGACCCCAGATGATCAATTTTCATGTGAAAAGACAGACACTTTATTATCCAGGGAAATGTAACTTGTAGCCAGAGCTAGAGATACTTCATATGCCCTCCTTCCCATGGATAAAGAGTCTAAGAGTCTTAACTGTGTCAAATACAGGCAAAGATACAAATCAACCAGAATGTGTACTGGTTCTTAGAGAATAAATTAGTATAAACACAGAGGTACAGAACTGTTTTGCAATTATCTACTGAAACTAAAGATAGGCCAGCTCCAAAGTGCAAAGAGTTGCACATCTCAGGAGACGCGCCAGAGAAGGGCAGGAGCTCTGTGCAAGAGTGCGTACGGCAGCACTGTGGCGCTGAGAAGCGGGGGGCCGTCCTGAGTGGGTGAGCGTTCCAGTACATGACTGTGATGTGGCTCTACAGTGGAACCCGATGTGCCCTGAAAAACAATGAGTTAACAGTTACAGCAACAAGAATCGTAGGAACAGAATCTAAGCCCAAAACTGCCAAAGAATACGCATAGTGTGGTTATACTAGTAAGGATATAAATAAATGTAAAACTATGAAGAAAAGCAGGTAAAAGCCAGGTGTGGTGGCACACGCCTGTAATCCCAGCACTCGGGAGGCTGAGGCAGGAGGATCATTGTGAGTTCTAGACCAGCCTGGGCTACAAAGTGGGCTCAAGGGCAGCCTGAACTGTATAGTGAGACCCTGTCTCAAAAAAGACCAACAAAAGAAAAGCAGATAAGCACAAAACTCCAGAAATGGTTACTCAGACACGGGGATGGACTGTGATAAGGAAAAAACCAACGCTGGCACACGGGGGACTTCAAAACAGCTTACTCCATAGCTGGATGTTTGTATCATTTTATGCCATTGAATCGCTGTAATAATAAAGTTAATCACACTGAAGCACAAGTTGTAGAATTTAGCATATAAGTGACAATACTTAATCTTGTATATCTGCAAGACAGTGCTTTTTTGGAGAAAAGGTTATTCATGAGTTTTACCCCATTACTTGTTTTTGTCTTTTTGAGACAGGGTCTCACCATGCAGTTCAGGCTGGTCTTGAACTCACTTTGTAGCCCAGGTTGGCTTTGAACTTGCAATGATCCTCCTGCCTCAGCCTTCCAAGTTCATGCGTGCACCACCATGCCCGGCTCAAAAAATTCTATTTAGTTTCATTTTGGGTTTTTTTGTTCTTTTTGTTTTTTTGTTTTGGTACTGGGAATTAAACTCAGGACCCTGAACTTGCCAGGCAGGCACTGTGCCGCTGAGCTATAGCCCAGTATGTTCATTAATTTACATTAGTAATTAAATTTCCTTAAATTGAAATGTCCTTTTCTTTTTCTTCCCCCTATTCCCTCTGCCCTGACGCTCATTTTATAGGAGAGATTTGAAGCGCTTTTCTCCCTCTATGATGACCAAGTTACATTTCAATTATTTAAAAGCTTTAGAAGAGTCAGAATAAACTTCAGCAAGCCTGACGCGGCAGCAAGAGCGCGCATAGAACTCCACGAAACGGACTTCAACGGCAAGAAGCTGAAGCTGTACTTCGCGCAGGTACCGCCCCTGTGGAGGACCCACAGATACTTACAGCAAGTGATCTAAACAGTTCTCCTTTACTTTAGAACTTTGTTTGAGCAAGACCAGCAGTGAAAGGAATTCATTTTCCCGGCTGCTTGGCCCAGCTGGGGCTCTGAGGAATTCACTTTTCTCCTCTGCATCTGCAGGGCGCTCATCAGGTGACACCCTAGGGACCATGCAGAAAATAGTGTTTTGATGGGGGCTGGGGATTTAGCTCAGCGGCAAAGTGCCTGCCTGGGAAGCACAAGGTCGTGAGTTCGGTTACCGGTACCGGAGGAAAAAAAAAAAAGAAAAGAAAAGAAAATAGTCTTTCGAATCGTTTTCCGCGGTTTGTGACTCTTAGAAGGAACATCCAGGCCAATGGCTGGTCATCAACTGATGACCTGAGGGCTACAGAACGGCTGTCCTGTTTGCAGGGTTGCCAGCAACTGGCTGGTAGTTCCAGACCTACATGGGCATGGCTCTTTGTGAAACCATTTTTTTCACCTCAAAGAACTGACAAAACAAAGGCCTTAAATCTCCACTCAAGAATAAAGTGCACTGTTCTATTTTCCAAGAAAGTTTTTTTGTTTTTTGTTTTGTCTTTTTGAGACAGGCTTCCACTATGCAGTTCAGGCCGGCCTTGAGCTCACTTTGTAGCCCAGACTGCTCTCCAACTCGCAACAATCCTCCTGCCTCAGCCTCCCAAATGCAGGGATTACCGGCGTGCGCCACCCCCCACCCCCCCGGCTCTAGAAAGTATTTTTTTTCCTTTGGTTTTAGCTTTTAAATTAATAGACCAAGAGAGGTTTATTGTTTTACATTCCAGGTGAAAGCTAAATGCAAGAGCTGTCTAGAAATTTCCTAGTTCTTGAGACGGAGTTCAAAATGATACAGTTACCGGGCATGGTGGTGCATGCTTGTAATCCCAGCACTGAGGCAGGAGGATCATTGAGAGTTCGAGACCAGCCTGGTCTACAAAGTGAGTTCAAGGCTAGCCTGAACCTCATGGCGAGACCCTGTTTCAAAAAGACAAAATAAATAAAATAAAATGACAAAGTGATACAGTTTTATCTCTTCTAAGACAGAAACTTAGTCGTTTGTTAGCCTTTTGTTACTTTAACAACCTGCGATAATCAGCTTAGAGAAATTCTCTTCTCGGCGCGCGGTGGCGGAGTTTCTGCGCATGCTCAGTCACCCCCGCCGCTTTGGGGCCCTCGGTGAGGGCGGGCGGCGCATCACGGCTGAGCGCAGGCGGAGCAAAGCCACTCACCTCACGGCAGGGAAGCGAAAGAGCAAGGAAGTGAAAGGGACAGGAGCTCTGCTGTCCCTTCCAGGGTGTGCCCCAGTGACCTGCAGCCCTCCTCCTCGGCCCCGCCTTCCAAAGACGCCGCCATCCCCGGTGCCACCTCCCCTGGTAATGAGCCTTTGGCACCTGCACCACCAGGGGTCGCTGAAGAGTCAGACTGCAGCCGGGGTCACCGGCGTGCATTTCACTGTCCCTCCTTCCACCCATTTATTCTTTTCTTTTTTTTTGTCTTTTTGAGACAGGGTCTCACTATGCAGTTCAGGCTGGCCTTGAGCTCACTTTGTAGCCCAGGCTGGTCTCGAACTCACAATGATCCTCCTGCCTCAGCCTCCTGAGTGCTGGAATTACAAGCGTGCGCCACCACGACCGGCATCTCACCCATTTATTCTTCAGCTCAACTCATGTACACTGAGAACCTCATATATGCGGCCCCTGTACAGTGAGCCAGGCAGGCTGAGTCCCACCTGCTCGGTGATCACAGACCATTCGGAGAAATTTTTTACTTTCTCCAAAAATAGTAACAAAGTGCTCAAGAGCATCTCCTCGCCTGCAGGTGCAGATGTCCGGTGAGGCACGGGACAAATCCTACCTCCTGCCGCCGCAGCCCGCCAAGCAGTTCCTCATCTCCCCGCCGGCGTCTCCGCCCGTGGGATGGAAGCAGAGTGAGGATGCGATGCCTGTGATCAACTACGATTTGCTCTGCGCCGTCTCCAAGTTGGGGCCAGGTAAACGAACTTCTGCTTTTTCCTATTTTTGTCCTAGGAGTTTGAGATTATATTCACACCCGGGCTACTGTTGCACACCTGTAACCCCAGCACTCTGGGAGGCTGATGCAGGAGGATCGTAAGTTTGAGCCCAGCCTGGACAGTTTAGCAACTTGGCAAGATCCTTTCTCAAAAATAAAAATTTGAAAAGGGCTGAGGATGTAGTCCACTGTGAAGGCCCTGGGTTCAATCTCTGGGACCGAAAAAAACAAAGACCATATAGTTATTACCGTTACATATTCTACTGGGCCACGATACAGGCAGTTAGTAAATACCCACTGCCGCCTTTCCCCGGCCCGCCAAGCACTAGACAGATGACAACCGCTTCGAATATATTCCAGGGAGTGCATGGTGACGTCCTATCATCCTTCTGGTTTTTTCTCTCTTACTCATTTTTCATTTCTTACTTACTTTCCCTCTCTTATCCCTGTCAACTAACATAACAAACTGATTCCAGGCTGGTCCAGACCAGCTGTTCCTGGACACAGTTGTGCCTGTCACGGGGGACACAAAGGCCTTTGAGGAGAAGAGGCTTGAGGTGTTCTTAGACCTCGGAGGTCTAAGGTCACGGAAGAAAGAGGTTGCCCGGGTGCCTGGGGCCTTGCCAGGGTCTCCCAAGGGGAAACAGAAACCGTTGGGAAGTTAGGCAGATTCATTTGAATTATTCATAAGACATAGTAATTACCATTTACATTTTAACCTCCAACACCTCAAGACTAAAATGACAGTATTTTATAAGAGCCTTAAAGTATTGCATCTCAGCCAGGTGCGGTGGCTGGCACTCGCCTACAGTCCCAGCTACTCAGGAGACTGAGGCAAGAGAATCACAAGTTCAAACCACAGCCTGGACACCTAGTGTGAGATTCCATCTCAAAATAAAAACCACAGTTGGCACAGCATCTAGGAGGCTGAGGCAGGAAGGCTGTAAATTTGAGTCCAGCCTGGGCAATTTAGTGGCTTATTGAGACCTTGTCTCAAAATAATAGAGTTGAGTATGTATCTTATTGTAAAGGCCCAGGGTTCCACCTCATTACCCCCAGAATAAATAAGTGAATGGGATACAGTGCCTGTCTAGCATGCATGAGATCCTCAGTTCAATCCTTAGCACAGACATGGGGGAAAAAAGAATCAAATCTCTAACAAGCTGAGAGTAGTGGTGGTGCACACCTGTAATCCTAGCACTCGGGAGGCTGAGGCAGGAGGATCTTCATGAATTCAAGGCCAGGCTGGGGCTGGGAATATAGCTCAGTGGCATAAGCGCCTGCCTGGCAAGTGCAAGGTCCTGAGTTCAATTTCCAGTACTTTAAAAAAAAAAAAAAAAAAGCCAGGCTGAACTACATAGCAAGATTGTTTCCAAAGACCAAAAATAAATAAATAAATAAATAAATAAATAAAAATAAAATTTCGGCTGGTTGTAGTGGTGTACACCTGTAACCCCAGCACTCTGGAGGCTGAGGCAGGAGGATCACTGAGTTTAAGGCCAGCCTAGGCTACATAGTAAGTTTGTGGCCAGCCTGCACTACACAGCGAGACCTGTCTCAAAAAAACCCTCAAAAATAAATAAATAAAATTTCTACTACCAAAGCTATTACTCTAGCCTAGGATTAAAGATTTTTAAAAAGTGAGTGGATAAGATGTGATCTTTTTTTGTACAATGGAATATTACTCAGCCATAAAGAAGGATACACTTGAGACATTTCTAAATAAATGGCTGCACCTTGAGACCATACTCTTAAGTGAAATAAATCAGACACACGTATAAATACTTATTTTTCTGGTTTGAGCAACCAAAAATGTAAATAACGACCAAAATGTATAATAGACGCTGTGAAACTGGAAATGTTCAAATGGGAAGGGGATCTAAGAAGGGAGGAGAGGGAAAAGAAGAAGAAGGGGGGAAAATGAGAAAAGAAGGGAAAAAATAGAAGCAAAGCTCTTGTAAACGACGAGGGGAAGAGGGGTTGAAGGGACAGCATGGGAATGGGAAAAGAAGAACCAGGTTATGTCACGTGCAGGTACAAACTCCCTATGACGAATGGGATCAGCCTGTGCGCCTAAAATGCACCGGTAAACTTAATTTTTAAAAGTCACCAGCAGGGACGACCTTAGCAGAGCGAGGGGTCCCGAGGGGAAACGCGGGCTGCTGCAGGGCGCGCTCACGGTGTTTGCCTCGCAGGGGAGAAGTACGAGCTGCACGCGGGAACCGAGTCCACCCCGAGCGTGGTGGTGCACGTCTGTGAAAGCGAGACCGAAGAGGAGGAAGAACCCAAAAACCCCAGGCAGAAAATCACCCAGACGCGGCGCCCAGACCCTCCGACCGCAGCGCTGAGCGAGCCGCCGACCTTCGACTGCGCGCCCTGAGCCCCGCGCGGGTGGGAGCCGCGTCCTCCTGCGGGCCCCGGGCCGGGGCGCCAGTGCGCCTGCGCGGGCAGGCGGGGGTTGGGGGTGGGGAAGAAGTTGATCATTTCCGGTGGCGTTTGAGTGATGTCCTAAGTGGCACTTTGAAGGGTGAGACCCCAAAGTGTGGCCGCTCGTGCCCGTTTTTAAAAGGTAGCAAATTAGGAAAATGTCCCCCACACCTCTCCCTGCAGCCAACTTTAGTTCCCTTGATTGCATATGGCATGGGGTACCGACCCCAGAACTATAATCACCCAGCACAGTAGCATTTGTACAAATTTAAAAATAGTCTTCAATTTTAATAATCTGGTGTGGGTATTTTTGTACTGGTATAGTAGCTTCTAACTAATATATGGATGAAAGGTTGTTATTCAGTGTATGTGATTTTTTTTCTGGCACAAAAAGAAACCTGAAATACAGAATCATTCATAAAAATTCATTTTTCTCAAGTATCGTTTTCATTAGCTTTGAGGAAGAACTGCCAAATCCACTCCGGTCATCGGAACTGAATGGCGCAGGTCAAGGCGTGTGCTGCTCTCCCTGTAACCCCTCCGTGGACCTCTGTTTCCGTCCACCATCACCCCAGAGATGGGCTGCAGAAAGACCTGCTGCTGCCGAGGTGGCCCGCACCAGCCCGACTGATTGTGGCTCAGGCAGGGGCCACCTTCCGCCATCGGTGACCGTTTCCAGCCTGTGGAGGGCCAGGCTGTCTTCCCTCACCATTTTTCTGATCACCTCCAATAGTGTGTTAACCACTCGTTCGTTTTTTTTCTTTTTTCTCTTCTTTCTTTCTTTTTTTGTTTTGAGACAGTGTCTCACTATGTAGTTCAGCCCGGTCTTGAACTCACTATGCAGCCCAGGCTGGCCTCGAACTCGTGGTGATCCTCCCACCTTAGCCTCAGGAGTGCTGTGATTACAGACGTGCACCACCATGCCTACCCCTGAACCATTAGTTCTTGAGGTTTCTGTGCTACATGTAATGTGCATTTGTGTCACACATAGTCTCTACATTAGAAAATGTGGTAAGGTTTTCTTTTCTTTTTTTTTTGGTACTGGGAATCAAACTCAGGACCTTGTGCTTGCCAGGCAGGCGCTTGTACCACTGAGCTATATTCCTAGCCCAAGATTTTCTAAAGACCATTTTAAAATGTTCTCCATCTAAATCTTTTCAGCCTGCTTGAGAAGCAAAGTCATGCATACTATTTTTTTTTTTATAAATTAGGGGATGAGAGGTGAGATCATGCTTTTCTTTTTGGATGACTTTTAACCGTGGCTTGCAGTTAGCATTTTTCTCTAAGGTGGAATTATCTCCTGTTTGTGTTTCAGAATGTGTATCTGAACTCCTAAGGTAGCAGCAGAGACCTTTGAGCACTTCAGGATCTATTCAGATTTTGTAATCCCTCATATAAAAATCTGATGACCGAAGCTGTTTTGCTTTAGGCCATGGTGATCACCTGGTTCTGTTGTTTGATCCGAGGAGCTCGTTGGTGTCTCTGGAAAGGGCTTGCCTTTCACTGAGAATTTATAAACCAAGGTGGCTGTCACTGTAACAGAAAAAACGCGGAGAAATTCAAGCTATAGTGTCTGTATATTTACAGTAACGTTATTGTGGTCTAGTTTTCATTATGACAGTTTATTTCTTAGGATTTAAACTACATTGCGTGCACACACAACGCAAGTTTCTCTTATTGTAAGAAGATAAAGTCTTCTCGTTGTATATACTCACCACTACTAAGCCTCAGTGTATATTCATTTGAAATTTATAATTCATAAGCAACTAATTTATTGAATTTGGATCATTGCTTGTCAGTTTAACTGACCACCACTCAATAAATTTATTTTGTAATTTTCTTTTGAGATGGAGTGTTGCTGTGTTGTCCAATTTGGTCTCAAACTCCTGGACTCAGCTAATTTACAGTGGAAATTTCCCTTCTGAGCTCAGGGACTATAGGTGCACCTGGCTCTACTTTGTAATTGTAGACTCAGAATTTTGCCTCTTTTTGATTGCAGTATGGGCTTATCTGTCTGTCAGGAAATATATACCACATATCAACAGTTGGGATTATTTTTTTTTTCTTTGAGACAAGATCTCACTGTACAGCCTAGATTGGTCTCCAACTCGTGATCCTCCTGCCTCAGCCTCCCAAGTGCTGGGATTACAGGTGTGCACCATCACACCTAGCTTCAGTTGGGAAATTCGTTCACTATAATTTTCTAATTGATCAAAACCCGTGATGTTTTGTTATTTGGCTTAGCTTTCATTCACCATCTGTTAATTAAAGAACATGTGGAAGTTTTTTTTTAAGTCACGCAGTACAAACTACTCAAGTTTTGTCGTTTTTCTTCTGAGAGAGCTTTAAGTCAAAATTGTGTGTGTGTGTGTGTGAAGAGTCATTCAGACTTTTCTGAATGGTGAACATTTTTGTAGTATAATATTTCTACAAGATTAATTCTAAAGTAAAAAATGACTCAATGCCCATCAACTTTTTAATATTATGAAATCAACCAGTATCTCCAGGTCTCTTGTCTGTTTGGGGCTATTTTATACCCAGTTCATGTAGGCATTTTATAAGAGATGAGTCTCCTGTGTCTTTTTTTAAAGTTCTTACAAGTTTACCGATATTTTTTTTTCTCCTTTGAGATTATTTCTTAAATTTAACTTTGTTAGCCCAGTAGAGCTACGTTTTCTTTAGAAATCAGAACCCGTCTGTGAAAGCCGGACTGCAGAGAATGTCATGAGGACAGAGGCTGGTGCTTTGTGCTGGGAAGAGCAAGCACGGAGGATGCAAACCCAAGGCCCTGTTGTAAGGAGGTGAGCGGACGGACCTGCAGCACATTGTTCTCAACTCCTCCAGCACTACCTATGGGGAGCCAGAGACGAATCCACTTAGAAAGCGCACGCTGAGCGTGTGCCAGGGCCCAGGAGCTGAGAGGCAGAGGTGGGTAAGAACAGCTCCCTTGCCTTGGAGAGAGAACTGCCAGGCAGAAAGCACGCAAGTCATTTCACGTCCTTCTTCAAAATGTTCTGCACAAAAGCCTATTGGAAATTAGAACGAAATCAGAGCGATGAGCAGCTTTTAGGTTCAGCGTGAAAGGGTTCAGTAGAAGGCTGTAGTGATCTAGGAGAGGTTGGAATTGAGAAAACAGCAGGAGACGCAAGTGTGCTGCTTTCATTCTGTAAGTCTGTTCTGTCTGCCATTCACATTAGTTCCGTCTTTTAAAATGTCATGATTATAAAGTGGGAAGATTTGGTCTTCTAGGAAGCTCAATTACAGAGCGGAAGATGGCTTTGAGAATGGTCTGGCCTAATCCTCCTGTTACGCAGATTGGAAGCCAGAGGTGTGGCACTAGAGTCAGCATTTTAATTCCTCTTCTTTTTCTTGCATTGGCCTCATCAAGAGGCAGCAAATATTAACCCCTATCATAAGGCCTAGGCGGCTAGAAGTGGCAGAATCCTTTCTTCCCTGATAGGACACAATGAATAAGGAATGGTTTTTGTTTTTTTTTTTTTAAATCTTACCTGAGACAAGTATGGCAACACACACCTATGATCCCAGGACTCTGAGAGACTGGGACAAGAGAATTGCAAGTTCTAGACCAGCCTGAGAAATTTAGAATTTAGCCAGAGACTGGGCATGGTGGCACACGCCTGTAATCCCAGCACTCGGGAGGCTGAGGCAGGAGGATCACTTTGAGTTCAAGGCCAGCTTGGGCTACAAAGTGAGCTCAAGGCCAGCCTGAACCGCATAGCGAGACCCTGTCTCAAAAAAGACCAATAATAATAATAATAATAATAATAATAACTTAGCAAGAGCTTCTCTCAAAACAAATAAATAAAAAAGGGTTAGGAACATAGCTCAGTTCAAAGGCCCTGGGTTCAGTGCCCAGTACAACACAAAAACAAAAAGAAACAAAACCTGTCATGAGAGCAGTAATTTAGTAACTTTAATTAATGATGTTTCATAGTTTTTTTTAACCATTGAGCTACAGGGTTAGAATCTCCTTAAATAACATTCTCTTGGTAGGCAGCAGTTACTTTAGCATTCTATATGGGCTTTCCTGGATTTTCATATTAATGAAATTAAAATATAGTTATAACCCCAGCAGAACGAGATCACAGATGACATGAAAATTAAAAGTTCGCTGTGGAATGATGCTCTCACTGTGCTTGTAACATTGAGTCCTACTCACAGCGGAAGACAGACCAATACTTATAGTCCTATAGAGATTATCTTATAGGCCATGGGTTTATTTTTAATAGGAAAATCTCAAACATAACTAAGCAATGGAAAATGTCCTAAATTCTGTGTTGCATTAGGTTCAGCGTGCGCTAGATTTCTCTCTCATTTCTCTACTGATGGACTTCATACCTGTCGGACAGGTGAACGTGGTCCATCTTTCCCTTGGTCCCCTTGGTGTGCTTGTTTTTTGCATGTTTGCATTTACTTTTTTGTTTGTTGGTTTGTTTGTTTTTTGAGACAGGGTCTTGCTACATAGATCAGGCTGGCCACGAACTCACTACTACCAGGCTGGCCTCGAACTCATGGCAATCCTCCTGCCTCAGCCTCCCAAATGCGTGGGCCACCACGCCCAGCTTGCATTTACATTTTCTTGCATTAAAGGAAAACGATAAGGGACATCTTTTCCTTGGTCCCTCCTTGTGCTCGTGATTGGTGTGACAACATAGAGGAACGGAAGACCTGGGAAATAGTTGCTTCTAGCTGAGGAAGTCAGTGTTACAGAAACTCACTTTTAAAAAACAAATTGAAAGAATAAGATGTATGAACTTGGGCCAACATTTGACAAATACCTATTTGGTTTTTATTTTTATTTATTTATTTTTTGTCTTTTTTTTGAGATAGGGACTCGCTATGCAGTTCAGGCTGGCCTTGAGCTCATTTTGTAGCCCAGGCTAGTCTCAAACTCGCAATGATCCTCCTGCCTCAGCCTCCTGAGTGCTGGGATTACAGGCATGCGCCATCAGGCCCAGCTACCTGTTTGTTTTTTAAATGCCCCGTGGAATACGGGCAAGCCAGAATAGCTTTGTTCACATGCCACTGTTTCACCCTGAATTGGGGGAAAGTTAAGTTGGAGAGTGTTGCTATATTTTCCAAATATATAAATAATGACACAGCTATAAGCAATGACAGCTGCTAAGTCCACCGACCAAAAAGATTATAAAAATCATCACGTTCAGAGTAGAGTTTCCAGTCAAAGTTAAGAAAGTCTCTACCCATTTAGATAAAAATTCATTGGTGCACATCTACAATCGCAGCACTTGGGAGGCTGAGGCAGGAGGGTGGCAAGTTCAAAGCCAGCCTAGCCTGGGCTACACAGAGAATTGCAGGCTACCCTGGATACAGAGTGAGTCCCTATCTCTAAATAAATAAAAGTTCACAGACCTTGCCCTAAATCATACTTGTGTAAGGAAACTGACAT